ACTTCAGGCCCCGGATCGTCCCGTACTACAGAGACCCCAACAAGCCTTACAAAAAAGTGCTCAGGTAAGCATCTGCTCTTTCAGCTGGGCTTGCCTTCGAGGAGAATCATCTCCTGGGGGGAATCTAAACATTCAGGTAAGTGAGCAGGTTCGGGGGGATGTGCTGTTCCTACATAAAGTGTTTCAAATAGTGTATCACAGCAGGAACCTCCTGACTTAACCTGTCAGCTCTCTTTACCTGTGAGCTGCTATTTGAAATACCTGATGCAGTGACAGCAGGATGCAGCAAGACAACAGTTAAAATTTTTACCTTAATGGGGTGCAAGCGTTTTTACAAAATGGGATTTGTACCAGTGAGCCTTCTCCTAAAGTTCTACTTGTAGGCTTAACTGTTTCACTGTTGGTAGACTCTGGCAGATAAAGACTTATCCCATGTTACAATAATTGCTGCACAAAAAAGATGTGGACAGGGTGGATAGGACCCAGAGAAGGGCCCCAAAGATGATCCAAGGACTAGGAAGCTGCCGTGGGAGAAAAGGCTGAGAGAATGGGGTTTGCCCAGCCTTGGGAGGAGAAGGCTTGTAGGACACCTCGTCGCCATGTTCCACTATTTAAGGGGTGGCTACAAAGAAGACGTGACTCCCTTTAATAAGGGAGCCTTCATGGAAAAGACAAGAGACAGTGGATACAACCTACTCCTGGGGAGGTTCTGATTGGACACAAGAGGAAAATTTTTCACAGTGTGAGTGATCAGCCGTGGGAATGATCTCCCCAGGGCAGCAATGGGTTCCCCCGCAGGGGACGCTTTTAGGATTCAGCTGGACAAGGCGCTGGGCCAAATTGTCTAGACCGTGCTTTTGCCAAGGAAGGTCAGACCAGGTGATTCCTGAGGTCCTGTCCCACCTGGTGTTCTGTAATAATCCTCTTGACTTTTGTCACCTGGCTGTTTGTCACGTTGGCACGTCCTTCCTTTACAGAACTCGCTACATCCAGACGGAACTGGGATTCCACGAGAGGCTGTTTGTGGCTGTGCTTACCTCCAAGGCTACCCTGAACACGCTGGCCGTGGCAGTGAACAAGACTGTGGCTCACCACTTCCCGCGGCTGCTGTACTTCTCCGGGCTGCGCGGTGCCAAGGTGCCCCACGGCATGGTGCTGGTGGCCCACGGCGACGAGCGGCCCATCTGGCTCATGTATGAGACTGTGCACTACATCCACCAGCACTTCGGCTCCGACTACGACTGGTTCTACATCATGCAGGATGACACCTACGCCCAGGCTGAGCAGGTCAAGGCTCTGGTGACGCACTTAAGCATTAACCAGGATGTATACATGGGGCGAGCGGAGGAGTTCATTGGGGGGGATGAGC